CAGACCTAGGCGCCCGCGGATGTCATCCGTAATTGCGTGTAAAAGCAAAGCTAAAGATACACGACGACGGGCTTCGTGCGGCGGGGCGAGGCGGGGCGGGGCGAGGCGGGGAGAGGCGAGAAGAGAAAGGAAGCGGACAATTAATTGTGCGCGAATTTCGCCGGGCGCTCCGCTTCGTCCCGCCATGTCGAGACAGACGAGAACAGGGGGGCGCAGGGGTGGGGTGGGGTGCGTGGCGCTCGTGTGGTGGTGTTCCAGGTGTTCCACACCCTCACCTCACCACTGCACTGAGGCAGGTGGGGCCCGCCCTCGTCGGTGCATATGATCGAGCCGTGGCACAAACGTGGTCGTCCGAAAAAAATTATTTTTATTTCATTTTTCTTAAACTTAATTTGCCTCATAACCGTTCCCTCCTTTCTCTTTACTCACAAAACACCAAAACTTGTGTGCGCATCCACCACCTACGTCAGGTGGAGCATTGGCTGGCAGGGCGTGCCAGCACCGCGCCGCGCGGTGTGCGCTATTGTAGGCGTGGTCGCGAGCAATACATCTATATTGCCATTGACACGCATGTCGGAGCCGGGAGGCTATCTGCCCTGCCCATCGGCCGCTCATGAGCCGAGCCGGCCAGCCCATGAGCCAGGCGCCCGCAGCCCTGCCCCGCCGGCATTTTATTATTTCCATTCGACACTGATTTCATGGCCTATAATATTCGCCATAGATCACTTTTATGAAGGAGGGGCCGTCCGTTGGAGTAGAGTCCTATATGTGGGAGAGACCCGCGAATGGATACAAAATGGTGGCGCGCGGAGCCCCGTCCTCCCTCTCCCCGCAGCCCCCTCGCCCTGCTCCGGCTCGCCCCCCGCCGCCCCCACCACCCGCCCCCCGCCAGCAGCGGTGCATCCTCGTGCGCTCTGCTCATGCGCGGCTGGCGGGCGGCCCGGTGCTCGGATCTTTTGACGCTCATAATTCCCAAACCGTTCAAATTAGTTAGGGAGTGTAAGCGAGCCGATTTATGTACAAATTTTAAGCTTTCT